ATGTAAAAATTTGTAAGGGTCGAAAAGTCCCCAAAAAGGTGTTAGATTATACTTGAACAGCCCCTTAACCTCTAGACTACGAGAGCCCCTTATCTTGGTCTTCCTTCTTAAACGTTGCATCCCTCTCAGCGTGGGTTGACCCTGACAGGCACACAGGTAGGGCCCGCGCCTGCCGCCTAAATGACCTAACTGTGGACACGGGATGGCAGATGCACAATACTACTTTTTTCTTTCAGATGCAAGGCTCTTTTGGCTTACAGGCGAGGGAGGGGGAAAAGTGGAAGGAAGGAGTAAGTAGATTCGCACTTAAAGGATTAATAGGCAGTGCACACTGCTAAGTGAATTCATTTAACAAAGCCGGACCGATTTGACACCGACCTTGAAAATAAATGTGTTTGATTTTGAGGGTCACAGTCGAATTCAGTCGAAGGCGGGCGTACTGTGCCAAAATGGTGGCTTTGGCACCTTCACGAAGGAAAATCTCGCTGACCCCGACTCGTTTCGATGAATCTGATTGATAGTGTGTACCGCCTGCTATAGAAGTCACCAAACATTTGCGGACATTTTTTCTCGATAATTTTACCTCTGAAACCAGGCGACCCCCACCTCCTTCAATCACAGAAATCTCCTCTTCTTTTCAAAATGGATGAGATTTGTTTTTTTTCGAAAGCGAGACAATTAATGAACAAGCTTCAAAAACTCACCCTGCCCAAAAAAATGACGAGCGCCTGATTTGCCTCGTCGTGGACACCTGATGTCTCCCCTTTCGTCCGCAGATGCTGCTAGTCTCCACGGTCAGACGAGCTGATCTGGCAATGCGCACCGTCAAAGTCAAGGTCCTTCCCGGAGGGCCCAAGCCAACAACGACAGCCTCAGGCACCACGCCCCCGATGTCTGCGGCTGCTTCAACTCCTGGTAAGTCGACAAACTGAAATCATGTACGGTGGGTTAAGTTTTTAGTAAAAAGGGGTGCCCATTGCGGACGGGATCGGGTCGGGTCGGGTAGGGATGATCACCTGACTCGTCACCTGTAAACAGACATGTTTGGTTTGGAGGCGAAGAGTCGAGCGCGATCGGCTTGTGCCACGATATCCGCTTTGCGCCCTCATTCTGACTAGCAACCCACCCCCGCCCGCCCCGATCCCCCAATGGACACCCCGTATCAGTGTCTAACAGCACTTGCAACACTGTGTCACCAGGCGGTAGAATCGGACGCTCGTCAATATTTTAGGCATATGGAGTATCTAAAAGCTTGTTCGTTTGTCTTGCTTGTGTTCAAACAATCACCTATCTATCTTCCAAAGAAGTCAAGATATTGGCGACTGAGGGGAAGTTGGGGTGAGGAGGAGGGGGGGGGGTCGGTTGTCGGCGTAACATAAACGAGAAAATGGCCACCAAAGTTTGGGGACTCCCAAAGCTACAGTGTCCTCCGGAACTGCTAATTTACATTTTTTTGCTCATCGATATATTTAAAATCCCTGGGCCCCGGGGCGATCAACCCCAATCCAGTGCGTCCACAGGTGGCGGATAGTGGAACGGCCTCTAGATATAGAGGTTAGCTGCGAATATCTAAATAAGCAGTCGCAGACCAAATGGCGGTGAGGATGGAGGGCGGGGTGAAGACTGTGGTGTGGGATCCCATTCTTCTACTCAATGTAAAATACCCTAAGTGCCCGGTGAAAGACTCGCCAGCAAGACTGGGGCGCGAACAACATACGGGTAGATGGAACTCGTTAGCCAGGGATGGCAGTTCATCTAGGAGAAGGAAAACTCTGATAAAAAAAACCCTGCTGTCTAGAAGGCAAACTCAGGAAAGTTATAGGATATGGGAGCACTCCCAGACAGAAAAGCAGGCAGAAGACGGAGAGGTGGAGCGAAAGGTGCCGATAGCTGGGCTAGTCCAAACCGCCTCACGCAAGTCTCATTATGATGACAGGATCCAAACAAGATTTTCGATGTGGCGTTTCATCTGTGAAATCCCGTCAGGCGGATGAAGTGCTGGGCCCTCTGCCTCGAAGGGGCCCACCCCAAGCTACTGGTGGTACCTCTGTCTCTTCCTGGGGAGCCAGGAGAAGAGATAAGTGGAATACAACGACATGGAATTTACAACAAGAAAGATGCCCTAAAAGACACCCTCATCAGAGAAAGGATTGACATAGTCTGTCTGCAAGAGAAACACCTTACTTCAGCAATGAGGTTGAACATCACAGGCTACCAAACCTTTAGAAAGGATGGGAACTGCGCACCTAAAGGAGGAGTGCTCACCCTAGTCGTAAACTCCATCCCGGCGAAAGAAATCAGGGTGCAAGATACAGATGAGTCAGAAATCATAGGAGTCGAGATCAAACTCCCACACTGGATTGTAGCAGTCTAAATGCTATGCACCTCCTGATAAAGCTCTCACGCTTCAAGTGATGGATATTCCAGCAGAGACTGCTTAGTACTTGGTGACTTCAACAGTCATTCTCCAAGCTGGGGATACAGAGACTTAGACGCCAAAGAAGAGGAAATAGAAGACTGGCAAGCTTTCACCAAGCTACACCTGCTCAACAAACCAGACGATCCCCCCACTTTCTTCTCATGAGCCTGGAAAACCACGTCTCACCCAGACCGGTCACATGCCAGCAACAACATCAGCAGAGGATCAACAATACAAGTCATGGAACAACTTGCAACTAGTGACCACAAACCCACCCAAATCACCAGCCAAATCACTCCCCCCACAGTATCAACTAGCACCTTGCCCAGATGGAACTACAAGAAGGCAGACTGGACCAAATTTGGATCTCTTACAGATGTATATACCACCAAAATTCATGCCAAAACCTCAAACACCGACAGAAGTACGAGGGAGTTCACACAGGCCATACTGCAAGCGGGAAAAGAGTCCATCCCCAGAGGAGCTAGAAAGGACTATGTTCCAAACTGGTCTGAAGAGCTCAGAATGTTTGACGACAAAGTCACCACAGCAAGAGAAGCAGTTGAAAATCTACCAACAACAGAAAACAACATTCAGCTAAAGAAAGCTGCCGCAGAATTTAAGAAGGTAACTAACTCAGCCGTTCGGAAAAGTTGGCATGAAAAGACAAGCTCCCTAAACTTACACAGACAAGGAAATAAACTGTGGAGGATTGTCAGATCATTAAACGTAAGATGCACCAGTAATACTTGACAAAGATGGCGAGTCCAAAGTAGATAAACAAGCAGCAAACCTACTCATTCAGCAGTACAAGGAAGTGAGCAAGTTAGAAATATCCCCAGACAGAATAGAAGAAGTACAGAGAATAATACATGCTTTTGATTCCCCACAAGAACCTAAAGATGATGTTATGACCAAACCACTCGTAATGACTGAACTGGATAGAGCCCTACTCCAGCTCAAACCAAGACAAGCCCCAGGCCCAGATAAAATAAGTAGTGACATGCTTATGCATATAGGAAACACTGCTAAGAAGAAAATCCTCCAAATATTCAACAGCAGCTGAAAGAACGGGAAACTTCCAAAAGCTTGGAAAACTGCTATACAGATACCCCTCCTCAAAGGTGGAAAACCCAAGAACAGTGTAGAAAGCTAACGCCCAATCAGCCTCACCAGCTGTCTGTGCAAGCTTCTAGAGAGAATCCTCAACTACAGACTCTGCTGATTCCTAGAGAAAAACCATCTTCTATCAGATAACCAAGCTGGGTTTAGGAAACATCGATCAACCGAAGACCAGATTACATACATTGCTCAGATGGTAGAGGATGGCTTCCAAAGGACAGAACACGCTGTAGCCGTCTGGATCGACCTCGAGAAGGCGTTTGATAAAGCACACTTAACATGATGAAGTGGACAGAAGAGTGGGGACAGAAGATCAACAAGAACAAGACCCGTACACAACATTCAGCCTCTCACCAAAACCCCGAAAGGTAAACTTGCATCTTGATGGAAACACTCTACAACACGAGTCAAACCCCACCTATTTGGGAGTGACGTTTGGTCCAAGACTAACGTGGCAAGCCCAACCAGAGAGGTGTAGAAGTAAAGGCAACAGAAGGACAGCACTTCTTAGAAAGTTGGCAGGGTCAGATTGGGGAGCAAACCACACCGTCTTACGTGGAGCCTATGTTGGATATGTCCGCCCAGTCCTAGAATATGGTATCACAGCGTGGGGAACAGCATCAGGCAGCAACTTCCACAAAGTAGCGAGAATCCATAATCAAAATCTGCGGATCATCACGGGAGCAATGAGATCTACGCCCATTTATGTCATCGAGACACTACCAGGGCTGTAACCTCTGAACGACAGACGCGATCTGAAAGTGACTGTTCATCAGGAAAAGGCCAAAAGAATGCCAACCCATCCAAGGAAGGGTAGATCTTCAAAATGCCAGAGAAAACGCTTTAAAAGAACAAGCTTCCTCCATATGGCGAGACACTCCAGCTCTGGACTCGAAATCTCTCTTGAAGAATCTCCAACCCCACTAGACTCGTGTCAATCCACCCCTTCAGACCAATCACCCCCCCCCCTCAAATTCGAGAGAATCTAGAAAAGCTTGGCACTCATTCTGAAGTCCCTCCTCCAATACACAAGTCACTGACGCTCGACTACCTGGACAGAAACTTCTCAAGCAACCGGTGGAATCGACTTAACACAGATGGATCAGCAACTGATGCAGTCAGAAACGGCAGTGGAGGTATCTACATAGAGTGGATAGATGGGACAACAGAAAGCCATTCCATCCCCACAGGATCTCTATCTTCCAATTACAAAGCAGAAACATCAGCACTCGGAACAACAGCCACCATTCTCTCTTGAATCACCAAAAATCTAAAGCCAACACAGTCATCCTCACTGACGCCAAATCTGTGCTACAAGCTCCCAAAAAGCCACAAACAGCCCAAGTACGACAACTCCTTTCACTCCTATGTGATCTAAACTCCGAAGCCAACACAACTCTGCAGTGGATACCAGGTCACTGTGGCATTCATGGAAATGAAAAAGCAGACGACTTAGCCAAATAAAGGAGCCAAAATGGCCCAGATTGAAGGTGGCATGGATCTCTCAGAGTCAAAAACACTAATAAAAACTGCTTAAAGAAACAGATGGAAGAGGTCCCTCCCTAAGCACAACAGACACGACCCCTAATACATACTAAATAGAGCAGACCAGGTCACAGTCTTAGACTCTGTTGTGGCCACAACAGACTCAAACACCATATGCACACCAAATTAAAAATGGGAGAGTCAGCGATCTGCTCATTTGGACACGACCAAGAGGATGCCAACCATATCCTTCAGCACTGCCCACGCTACGCCACCTTTTGAACACAGACGTGGCAGAATGTGGCTCCCCTTGAGAGAAAGCTCTATGGCAGTCTCTCAGAGTTGAAGTGAACTGCACAGTTTGTGCGCGACATCGGACTGACTGTCTAGCTGCTGTCATCGAGAACGAGGAAGAAGAAGAATTTAAAATCCAAGCAGGAATGTGCTTTTAACAGAGCATGAAAGGTGTGGAGCCCAACACCACGGTGTGACACTATTAAGTCATATGAGTGCCGAAGTTTAGAAGTGTTGGTGGTACTAGAGGGTAACTTCCAAAAAAGAAATTAAGCCGGAGAGATAAGGACGATTAGATGTTTGATAGAAAAGAAGAAGCGAAGCACACCAGAGTATCCGCCAACAACCCGTTCACTGCAGGTTTAACGGTCCCTGCAAAACTGTAGTAAGATAATTTAAGAGGCAGGACCTCCTCTGACAGGACCGAGCTAAACGGGAACATTTAAGTCAAGTGACTTTCCCAAGGACACTACGTCGGACCGAGCTGATTCTCGAAATGCCCGAACTTGTATCTAAAATACGAGTCAGTTTGTAAGCCCAAGAACTATGGTGCGGACAAAAATTCGTGGCGCAACTTATTATCAAATTCATAATATTTCCTGAACTATCAGACAGAGATTCTAGACTCCAGCTTTTGCACAGTGACTTGTACCAATTTGTCTTAACAGATAAATATTAGTTTGTTGTTTTTTTTAACACCTCTTAGCTGTATTCTAGAAAACTCCCGGAAGGACCTTTAGAAAACTCTAAAATTAAATGCTAATGAAAAATCAAAATGGGTTGTTTCTACAGATCTTAAAAGGTTTACAGCTGGGTCAATATGCTGTCCCCGGGGTTTTATGCACCTCGCATAATTTAGCAAAATTTTATTATTTTTTTGCATAATTTCTGATTATTTCCCTTTATCATTCTTTGTTAAAAATTAACAGAATCGAATAATTTCACATTTTTAGGCTCAGTTTGCATAATTTCAGAATTTTTTTTTGGAATAAAACCGCGGGGGCAGAATATGGTTTTTCAAAGTGAGTCCGTCATTTTGTTTTCAAATCGTGACACTATCTTTATTGAACGCATACTTTGAGAACCTTTAGAGCCCCCAACCCTATCCACCCCCACCCCCCAATCATCCATCACCCACCACAAAACAACAACAATAACGCCATCATCATCATCATCTACAACAGCAGCGACAACAACAACGACAACACGACAACAACAACAACAACAACAACAACAACAACAACAACAACAACGACGACGACGACAAAATCAAAACCACTATCAGCCCCAGCCCCAGCCCCAGCCCCAGCGCCGCCAAAGACGACCCCCTCAGACGCCGTTGCCATGACAACCCCTAGAATAAAAACCGCCCAACCACCAACGCCTACAGGAACGGAGACACCCACTTCAGAGCCAGAGGAGAGTTCCGGGGAGGAGGAGGAAAAAGACAACTGCAAGCACTACGTGAAGATACTGGCTCTGTCCGTCGGACTGTCTCTTCTCATCTGTAGTCTCTGCGGAATCTTTGTTCACGCCTTCTATCTCAGGGGTAACTCAGATTTGTGGTTGGCTTTTACATTTGTGTCTGCTTTTTGTTGCTGTTGCTGTTTTTGTTGTTGTTGTTGTTGCTGCTGTTGTTGTTGTTGTTGTTGTTGTTGTTGTTTTGCTTAGTGGTCTTTTCTTGTTGTTGTTGTTGTTGTTGTTGTTGTTGCTGTTGTTGTTGTTGTTGTTGTTGTTTTTGTTGTTGTTGTTGTTGTTGTT